CTGATCCTCAGTTGGGATGGTGTGACACAGCCCTGATCCTCAGTTGGGATGGTGTGACACAGCCCTGATCTTCAATGGAGGTGGTGTAATGCAACTTTATTCCTCAGTTGAGATGGTGTGGTTCAGCCCTGATCCTCAAGTGTGATACAACTCTGACGGGAAGTGGTGTGACAGCTCTAATCCTCAAACTTCACGTGTAGAGTGTGACACAACTACAATCGTCAATTTAAGGCGTGACCCAGCTGTAATCCTCAATCGAGCTGGTGTTACCGACTCTTAACTTCAGCCAAGCTGGCACACAACTCAAATACTCAATGTATGAGCGTATCACAACTCTAATCCTCAACACAGGTGTTTTGACATGGTAATGTCCACTACAGTATTCTAGAATTACATCTGTCATGGTTTCTCTTACACTATTCATTCTCAGTCAGTAGAATTCCCAGTCCTTGGCAAACCATGAGAGAATGTAGGTGTCCTTCTCCTGAGGCTGTAACTGTTTATCCACGACAGGGTCGGGGTAGCTATCACTCTCTTCACTATTGATGACCGACTTAAAGTTGATGAGTGGCATGTAGCCCTTCCCAACCGTCACCATGCCCGGCACCCCTTTTCCTTCAGAATCGCTGTTGTCATGGCGACCATGAAACAATGGCAGAATGAGTTTCACAAAGAAGTCCTGGTTGTTATGACAACGGAATATAGAGTATGGAAGGAGAGTGACGGCATTGGCAACAATGATACAGCCCCAGGTGGTTCCGGCGTAGAGGTACTTGTCAAGGATACTGAGGGCCGTCACTAGAAATCTACTCACTGCAACATGAAAAATATATCAGTATATAAATTTAAGGTCTCATATGAAGCAAGATTATCTCCTATGGATTTGCATAATATATTTGAACATTTTCTTTTCAACAATTATTTTAGAACTACCGTAAGTGTATTTTGTGACGTATATGTCAATGAATTTTCAAAGTTAGTGAAAGAACATACCAGAATATTAATGTGTCTTACTGTGTGTTTACTAAATGTAATCATTTTACGTTAGCACATACCTCCTGAACCTTCTGTGGACTGGACAAACTGACCCTCAGTGGCAGGAACAAGATGGCTACAGTCCAGCTGACACTCTGTCTGTCTGCTCCATGTATTCCACTTACGAACATGTGTACCTAGTTAACATATGAATCGTAAGTTTAGGTCATATGACTTACACGAAAATTCAAGGCCATCAGCTGTATAAAACATCGAGGTGATCCGTGGTATACAGAGGTCAAGGTCATTAGTAGCACACAGAAGTCAAGGTTATCATTAGCACACAGGAGTTAACGTTATCAGTAGCACATAGAAGTCAATGTCATTAGTAGCACACAGATGTCAAGGTCATCAGTAGCACACATAGGTCAAGGTCATCAGTAGCACACAGGAGTTAATGTCATCAGTAGCACACATAGGTCAAGGTCATCAGTAGCAGAACAATATGTAAATGTCTTCTGTTGTATAGGAAAGTGAAGGTCATAATTACATACTAAAACTCAATGTCATCTGCTCAATACAAGACTAAATTTCGCCCTCAATAACTGATTTATTACAATGATCTCACTAATTCAATGATATCTATTTTTATGTCAATCTGTCAGGTTATTGATGAGACACAAATGGATCAGACTTACCAGGGAAGACATAGGACCAAACAGCATCATTATTTTGATCTGTGATGTTGGTCTCTAAAAACGTACACTGTTTACTCTGGCCACTGTGGGGGTGATTCAAAATCTGTTCAGGAATCTTGTCTGGTTTTCCAGGTAGGAAGTCTTCATTCAAGTCAAACACTGCAACCTTAGCCTCACCTAGACCAACCCACAACTCCAACCTGGGACAAAAAAGACCACAAAGTTACTATAAACGCATCAAAATCCTTCCAAAATCTCAAAATATAAACATTATGAGCATATTAATGTCAAAATCTTTTGTTTCTAAATCAACTGTGGTCATTATCAATTTGACACTGTGCCATTCTTACTTTGAGAAATAATTTTAAACAAAAGGTTTAACTGATCATGAACTTAATTATTGTATATTGCATGTGCACTTACAGTAGTATATATCAAATAATGTGCTCCATGATCTTGAAGATTATGAACTAATGTCAAACATCACTATAAACTATTGGGTAATGGGTAACAATGCTGTGAAGTATGATCAACTGATCCAGCAAAAGGCTAAAAGTTATGGCCCTAACACCGATACCAGATACACATGCTCCATGACCTTATGTTGGACATATGTTTGGTGAAGGTCGCGGTGCAACCTTGGGTCAGTCTAGACCAACCAAACAGTACAAAAATTTAGCTGGGACACAATACTGCAGATGTGTGGACAGCACCTTATCATAATAAGAGCGTACTCACTTTGTACCAGAGTGTACTACTGTAGCACACAGGGCGCGACTCTGCAGCCTAACTGTAGTGTGGGTGTACTTGTGCCGCTCGCCCTGAGTTGGCATCTTTACCACAGTCAAAGTCTTCTTCATCAGAGATGTGAACACAAATATAACATGGCCTCCACCATTCTGCCCAGGTAAGTACCTGCCACAGAGGGACTGCTCAATGTCAGCCAGGTCGAGCTGGACATCATAAACGTCCTTGGTAGTTTGACACCTATAAAATAATGCATCGCCATGGTTACAATATAACAACGCTCTTGCATTGCCATGTTAAACTACCGCTCTAACATCTTGTTGGTAACAATCTGTATTAATTTAGAAGTATTCATGAACTATTCTGTTTCTTGTGTCCATATATGGCAGTGGATTGTCCCGCCATGTTGCCATGTGTCACACTCCAGATATTATCATGTTTTTCTCTGAACATAATAACATGTAACTTAGTTTGTTTGATATCATGTGACTGGGCATCAACTCCTCTTAATATCATATCTAACATCAGTTTCCCAATAAGATCAATGAAAACAGTGATGACCTTTCTTGCAATTGCCCTTTTGGTTTACTTTCACACATATGCTTTGTATAAACTAGAAAATGTCAGTTAGCCATGATACCCCCTTGTCTCTGTGGTTGACCTATTAGTAGCAAAAGTGGGAGGAGCGCAAATGAGAATTTGACATTCAGATTTATTTCAAACTCTTCCCCTTATTGAAAAACAAACTGACTTCCTACAGCAAAGTCCTTATTCCCTTGACTATATTTTGGATCTGTCTGTGACTACTCACTCGTACACATGAACCATGTGCTGGTTATCCACGACCCATACTGTCTCCTCTACGGCCACAAGTCCCTGTATGTGGACATCAATATCACACAGGTGTGTCTGTAACATTGATTACACAGGTATGCATGTAAATTCCTGTATGCGTAACATAAATATACATCATATGTAGATATACTGGTACAGTATCTTCATAAACAGGAGTCCCAAATTTAATATTTTATCAAATAATTAAGGGCAGAAAAGATTTAACTTTGTATTACATCCGTCTAACGGAAATGTAAGTACCCGGTACATGTATCTCAAATGAAGGATTTTCACACGCAATTTATAACATTGATTCTACAATTTCACTTTTGCATTTTTTTGAAAAATCTAAATAGGCCGTTTATCTCTGTACAAAGTAATTGAAAATGTCTCGATGATATGTTGAAGTTGCAATTATATCTGAAAATTGCAAAACAATATTATTACCCGGTGTAGCATGGGATTGTGAAGCATGGTGAAATGGTCCGCGGTTCATATCACCATGGCCTTCATATTACCATACTACACCGGTAACAGTAAAAACAGATTTAGAAAGTTGATTTACCTTAACAGTAGTACCAAGTAAGTCTGTGTCATAGCTGTACACGTCTAGACACGAGTTACCGTTGGGGACAGCTGTACTGAGCCAGACCTGTGTGTGTCGGGGCAGTCTCCGTAACTCATCAGAGTCATCTACATGCAGACAGACATACATATCAATACTAAAGACAATTTTATTATCAAAGCTTTAGATTTAATGTAACAATAACTTTTTTTCTTTTAAATAGTCAAAACTTCAGTCAGGGTCAGGGAAAGCTGGAATATCACATATATTTATATTCCATCATACCATTGAATAAACAGCATTAAAAATGTGTCAGTGTAGATTTCAGCTCTGTATCCATACCATACATATATGTGTCCTCCTCATTGTGGGGTCCCACAGCTACAGAACAGCCAGCCAGCACACCAATGTCTGAATCCATGGAGACAGCATCCGCCAGGTGTGTGAACTGTGGACAGCCAGCCACCTGTCGAATACGAGCTGCAGAGGGACGCTCAGCAGGGTAGTGAGACCAGCACATACACATCAGGTCAAGGAAGTGGGCAGGGTACTGCTTCTCCTGGGGGTAAAGATAGAAAGGGCAATACATGACCTTGCAAAATATCTCAGAAGCAGGATACTTAACGGTATATGTCAAAACCCTCCGGTGTATATTGTCAAGGAAATCATCAACCTCCAACACCTGACCTAGAACTCAATGTCATAACATAGGTCCTGATAGTAATGTCAAGGTATAAACATATACAATGCATTTAATGTCTATTTAACTTATAATTAAACTGATTTCATTTATATTTTACTCCTTTTACAAAACAAAATAGGAATACATGTATATTATTCCTTAAAAAATTCATGGTTTTATTTGATTGATAAATAAGTTTCAACCATTAATCTCCAATCACTTCTGTGCAACCTCATCACAATAACTCACCTTAGGTGAGATGAAAGGGCGGCCATTCTGACAGATAAACAGTGTTGGGTTGGTGACATCCTCAAGAGGCTTGGAACACGTCAGCAACTCGTACATAAACATTCCAAACGAGAAAATATCCACCTGCAAACAATGACACACATCAACATACATATACGTTTAATAATTGTAAAAAGCAGATTTAATTTTAATTGGAAACAAGCTTATTGATGGACATTTAAACTATAATTACCTGTATTAAAATACAAGCCCCTCCCTTGCTCTGTGAGAATATGCCAGAGAGACTGATCAGGTTGGTAAATTACACACGACACTTTTTTTTGTATGGATGTCTGATTAAGTATCCATTACAGAATCTTTCTATTTTATCTAAATTCCCATTGCTGTTAAAGACCAGACACAAGTCCTTCTGAATATGTATTAACTTACAATCATTGTTCAAAAGGCCTTGTTTCGAGTAATTTCTTTTGATTTCCCAACTGCCAGTCTTCTAGAAGAAGAGATATGATAATAAGACCGAAAAAAATGTATATATCATAATCACAAGCATCAGAACACATATGCATCAAACACAACCTTGAGACTTACAAGTTCTGTGTAAGTATGCTTGCCAGCATATTGCAGTATTTCTGGGGCTATAAAGGGAGGTGTACCACCAAAGCCCTTGGTTCCGGAGGGAAGGGCGGAACGACTGATGCCGTAGTCAGCCAATTTGATGTGGACCGGTCCAAGATCCCCTGTGTTATCCATGAATGGGATCTTCCATACTAACACGTTATCTGCTTTTAGGTCTCGATAGATAACAGATTCAAAGTGGAGGTATGCCAGGGGATCAGAAACCTGCAACAGATCATTCAGAGCTATTCTGATACTTTGATATATACTGAACTTGTTTTAACATTACAACTCTTATACTTATCCATGGTAAACGTCTATTGAATGTGGGAGTACCTTAGTTTCACAATGACCAAACCTGAATCTTTGCAGGCTTTCACAATTCTCAAGTCCCAGTCCCTGGATATGGAGTGAATTTAAATGTCAAGTCAATGGGGCTTAAATCGGTTACAGAAAGTCCATGATAGATTTCAATGTCAGTTTTAGCATTTATTAAAATCATCTACTTTAAAAGATTGTAGAGGAATCTATAAACTGTCAGTGAGCAGGTGATAACAAGGTCCTTGTGTCATGTTACACTGAAAATAACAGCATTTTTCCAAAATCTTTAACAGATTATTAATGGTTTAGGTTTGTTTGAAAGGGGATGTTTGGTTATAGTTTGTTCATTTACTGAATGATGGTTTGTTTGATAGCAACCTTACCTGTGTAATCATTTTGTTTACCTGTATAATATATATATACAGTAGTTAATTTACCTGTATAATAGTTTGTTTACTTGTACATGTATAATGATTTGTTTACATGTATGTTTATTTATTTATCAGCAAAATGATTTATTTACCTGTAGAATGGTTTGTTTTGTTTACCTGTATAATAAGTTGCTTGATGGTGAAAACAGACAGCCTCTGGCCCCCACTCTTGAGTTTATCCAGGATGCCCCTAAGGGAACTATGCGGGGCCAGCTCTAGGACGAGTCCCAGGGGTGCGATGGAAAGCCCTATTAGGGGTACCATGTGATGGTGCTGGATGTCCTGGAGGATGGACACTTCCTGTCGGGCCGTCAGGTACGCATCACATGCTCGCTGCATGTACAGGTGATCCTTCTGTAACCAAGGTCATAATATAATTCTGTAATCCAGATCAACATCATATTAGGATCTTTGTAAGATCAACATCATAATAAGATGATTCTTTCATCAAGGTCAAAATCTTGATAAAGGTGATTTAGATTACAAAGTTCAAGGTCTATACATTAGAGATCCCTTTTTAATCAAGATCAAGACCTTTGATCTAGGCGACATTTCTAATATCACAGGTGATCTTTCAGTAACCAAGGTCACAAGCAGTAAGATTCATCAGTTTGGAAATATGTAATATCAAAGATTTACTCTATACAGAAGCAAAGTATGTATTAAACATGTCAAGCTATATGTCAAACGGACCAGTCAGTCTTGAAACGTAACGACACGTTTAATATGTTCATTGTTAGTGTATAAAGTAAAACTTGACATTAAGGTAACAAGCAATTATCTTGTTTGAAAAAAACACATTTTCTGACAACCACCTGTCCTGTAAGATAATGTTGTTTTGGTAGATTATAGAAGGGTCTGTCTTAATTAGTGGCGAGAATCGTATACAACATATGCTTTATTTTATCACTACTCATGACACTGTTTCCAATTCAGAGAGCTAACTGTTCGCTTAGATCAACACTGAATTAAAACAGATTTTCATGTAGATTATCAAATAATCACAAAAATTTGACAAAACGGTAGATACACATGCTGTGTCTAATATTCACGAATATGCAATGATTTAGAAACTGGCTCAGCCCGTAATGTTGTCATCGGAGTAACGTTTTAGAATTAAATGTGAAGTTTTACACTTTATTTACTGACCTTATGATGATGACTGTCTTTGTGGGAAGCAAACAGAACCTTAATGGCCACATCACGTGTCGGCTCATCTATCTATATGAAGACAAATCCTATTACATGTAAATAGATCAAAATTCATCGACACAATGTATTGCAACATATATTTCAAGACAAAACAATATGTAATGATTGATGAAACATTAGTAAATAACAATTTGGTATGTTATGGTATATCAATTGTTTTACATATATATATATGTATTTATGTTGTAAAGCCTTTTACCTGGTAATTATAGATAAACCTACCAACCAATCTTGTTATAGCTATAGGCTAATACCAGCACGAGCTACCACTGGTGAATGTTTGGGTCTATCCATCATAATAACAGAGTGATCGGAGAACAAACATGGTCTGACATCAAATTACTACAGACATTTCCACAAATGGTTTCTGATTGAAATTAGTAGCTTGACGAACCTGGTAGCCACAGAAAATATTACTTTGTTCATGGAAAAAATGTTCCACTATTTGGTAAACAGTTTAACATGGATGAATTGAAAGAAACCACCTAGTAACATGACATAAACTTTTCTTTGTTATTTTAAATTCAAACACTCTGAAATCACTCCTTTTTGTGAGGGTTTTCATTTCGTTGATTTCGTTTGTCAATGAATTCATAGGTCCACCAAGTAATTACAAGTTTGACATGAAGCAATTCTCTGTGTGTGTGGATACTCGTAACCAACAAATTTATGTACCCACAAAATGATAGTTTTTCAGTGTTCCCGTATAGAATTATCAGTAATAACTTTACCCTAGTAAGCGTTCCTGCGTACACATCTCCAAATCCTCCGCGACCAAGGGTCTTGTCCAGAGTCAGGTGATCAGAAGAACCAATCAACACCTTGCTGTCTATATCACTGAACACCTGAAATGTTGAGTTAGTTCCCAAGTTACATAGGGCTGACTGACCATTAAAACTGAATACTGTGTTTGCAATTACAATCTATTACTGTGTTCATAATTACAGTACAATATGTCGTTTTCTGGACACTTTTTCCCTACGGATTTGACGGAGTTTTAGATACACATGTCACGTGATAGGGGGGCATGTGTATTTTAAGTTATGATGCCACAAATATGACTCCTGCTCACAACAACATGCAAAAATACTGGTGTGCAGTTTCAGACTGCATGTCTAATGGGAGGGTACTAGTCAGAAGTCATGAAGGACGTAAAGTTCTATCCATTTTCGTCCAAATCTTTTACTTTGATAAAGTTGGCTTGCCACTGATTCACCCCCATAGGTAAGTACATTGTATACATGCCTCCCTAATGAACCATGAGACAGCCAAATTCACATAACTTCTGTTCCGGAAACTTGTATTTCGGCATCAAAACATTTGTGTACGTAACCACAACAACACATTTATATCATAGGTAGCGATACATTTAATCTTTACCATGACATAATAATACCAACACTGAACTTGGTGAGTTCGAAAATTTCTGAAAAGACAATCATTTTGCTCCATGTTTTTAGAAGAACAGTTTCAACAGATATATACAGAACACATCAGTTGGCCTTAATGTCTACAACAACAGAAACAAGTTGTCAGGAAACTATAGAAACGAGTTATCAGGTAACAACAGGAAAGATGCAGGCCATAGGTGATCTTACCACGTCAGGGGCTATGTGTAGGATCCTACAGGATCCATCGGCTGACATCATGTAGGCCGGGGACACGCTGCCATGACGATCACAGATCTCGTCGTAACCACACAGGTAGTTGACAATGCTTCGTTCCACCACAAAACAGTTCAGGACTTTACTCCTGTCCTCCTCCACCTCATCACTGTATCACAACAGACACACATACAATTCTATCGCCCTAAATGTTTAAAATCCATATAACTACAAACCAGTTAGGCTGTCCTTGAATTAAGTTACTTTAGTCAGGTTAAATAATATCTAGTCTATCCCATAGAACTTGCTTTTGAGTTTTTGTAAATATGAACATCATCACCAACCAAATTTCACAATAACTAGTTTACATTACTACACTCGATCCTTGCTCACAAAGTCATCCTAGGAAACACAAACAAGTCTCAATAAAATTGCAATTTCTTTCTTTCTCTTTTTTTTTTTTTTTATCTCCAACAAGTACCAATATGCACTCAACATCTACAATGACACCATGAAATAGAAAGTGTCTATGTTTTTATTTTTGAACTATAACCTCATAATATTTTATTGGTCAAAGGTCAAATCTAATTAGGCTTTAACTTTTGTTGGATTCAGATTTGGGTGTAGTTATTAAATTCTGATAAAATTTCCCAGGAGGCACTTGTCTAGCAAAAACTTTTCTACATTTACAGATGCAGTTAAAGTAATAGGATTGTGTCGCCATTTCTCTGTATAATTTCTTCAAATTTTGTAGTTATATTGCTTTGAAGGAAAGAAATTTTCTGCCACAAAAAAAATATAGGTTGTCATAATTTTAAGGATTTTAAATGGAAATTTACGTAGAAAGGAGTGAATTTTGAAAAAAAAATGAAAGACAATATTTTTACAAAATAATGTCAATAAAAATGATACGGACATATATTAGTATTCCATTAATGTATATCAATTTAATAAATGCTGAAATTGTGTAAAATTAATTCTCTATACACAATATAAAAATTGACATTTTATAATAAAACCATATACACATAGTAATTGCAGGTAAGACTTATCGTTCTTGAAAAACTTTTTCAACTAGGGATGTACTTCCTGTTTCCGTTTATCGATACACTCCAATGACCTTAATGTGAAATTACTGCGAATAGAAGTTTTAAAAGTGACCTTTTTACATAGGTGGTCTTTTAATAGAGGTGGTTTCTCTATCAGGTTGTACTACATGCATTTTGTTTTTTAAAACTGACACAAATAAAACCTCTCTACAAAGAGAAAATTTCCATGTGACAGAATTGGAGTAGATGATATGCAGCATAATGCAACATAAAATGCAGTGTTTGAAACAATTGATTTGTAGGTTTTTGACATATTTCTGCAAGTATGTTAATTTACAAAATTACTGATTATTTATACATCCAGTAAGACATTATATCAGAAAAAGGGTTAAATGTGAATTTCCAGCACCCTTCAGACATGTTATACCCCTCCCCGGCTACCTGTTGTTAGGGATGGGCTGCTCGTCCTCCGTATAGGATGGCATCTCCTGAGAACTGGATACAGCGACCTGTGTATCAGTTAAGGAGATGTATTGCCAATTACGTGGATTGTCCTTCTTTCTCTCCGCTTCCAAAGCCTGCTGCAGACAGTGGGGACATGGCACAATACGGGTGATAAGGTAGCGTCCGTAACAATTCTGGTTAAAACGCCCCTCTCCTAGGTCCGGGTACCAATCGTGCAGCAGGTTGTCTATATGGGCGGTGATCTTAGACATAAAGCAGGCCTTAGCACCTTCATCTAGGTAAACCTGCTCCCTGTTAGATATCACCAGACCGTCCTGCGATGGGCTATGCTGGGCGAGGTGGAACACTAGGGAGTCACAGGGAAAAGACATCTCCAGTATAACACTATTTATCATGTCAATCTTAGTCCAGTCATCCTCCATGAAACACTTGAATGAGTACTTGCTATAGCGACACATATCTGCTGATGTTCCAAGCACCTCCTTGATACAGAATAGAGGTGTGTCATAGTAGAGGAGCTTCATGCCAGTTTGCCAGGGCTGCCACTTAGGAATCTTGTTCCTGAGAGCTGTACAGGCAGCAAGGAGGTCAGGGGATATACCTACCAACTTCTCCACAATGTTATAAAATGTACTGTCGGCCAGGATTCGAGTGATGAGGCGTGGCCAAAACCCACTTGGGAAGTAGGTCATCACATACAGGCGACATAGGGAGAACATGATGTTGTTGGTGGCCTCTGTCTTATACAGGATTAGACCGCTAGGCTCCAATGAACCCATATGCTTCAGAGACGAGAATGGACTACTTTGGTTACTACCTGGCTTCACTCTGAGTGAGGCTCCAAATGGAAAATTGGAAAATGTCTGCACTTCACTTGAATCACAAGGTTTTGAGAGAGATATCTGAAAATAATGAATTGATTAAATCCCATATACGAGCTCAAAATGCTTTATCTTCATCAATGAAAAATAATGTCATTCAAATTTAACTGCTTGTATCCCCTTTCTTTATCCCTACCCATATAAAACCACTCAATTATCCTCCCCTGCTACCATACAACCTACACTTCCCTACCAGTAATACTAACCATATACCTCCTACACAACCTTACCTCCCTCACTTCCCTACCCCAAACAACCTAAACACCATTCCCCTACCAACAACACCACGTGTACCATTGGTTTCTCCTACACACATTTTCCAATCAGCAATTCCATCCGGTACTACCTTAATTCCCTACTGATACCTCGTACCTTTTCTCACCTCAAACTCATATCCCTTCCCTTCTAATCCCTATTCTGAGCCCAACCCCCACCTGGTTACCCAGCCCATTTTCCTCCTCCCTCTCCTTCCCACCAAAACCTTACCCTTTCCACCACTACCAAAGCCATTAGGTTTCTAGCAGCAATCTCTAAAAATATAAAACTGCTCTTCCGCTTAGGGATCCCCATACCAAACCCTCTGTCTACATCTGTGTATGACTTACCCGGACATCAGTATTGCTCCGTATACTGGAGGCCAATTCCTGCTCAGTGGGGAGGAGGGAGGGAAGTAACAGTCTGTTACGGTCAAACTCTAGAGCCACCTCAAACTTGCCCAGGAGGCCACAGATGTACTGCTGTATACTTTCTGGCTGGAATGTGGATTCCTTAAACAACATCCGTAGGTTCTCTGCCTTCATTACACCTGTACAGGTAAAAATCATACTTGTATGTAAGACAAGCATATCAACAGGTGAATATTTCAGTGTTAACCTGACATCATCAAAGGTAATCATATTAGTACAGCATAATGGCTTTAAATCTGGAAACAAAATCAGCTAATATGACCTGGAGATTTTGTCTTCTCACTGCAATACCAATATCCTCATAACTAATGGGTAATTATCTTGTAAAAAATACAAGGTCATATGAAGAAAGATGTTTCACTTGGAGTGTCGAAAAGTCCCTTGTCAGTTTACCATAATCTTTGACCTTTAGTACCAGAATATTTTTGATGATGATTGCTTCACTCTTTATTTTGACCAATCATTCTCATTTTGTTATTTTTTCCAATTGTTACACCTTTTCCCCAGGTAAACAGAGTTTTGAAAATTAGATTTAAATCAAATTATTATAATTTAAATTATTTGATTTAAATTGGGAACGGCATTAAACTCATCAGAGTTCAACATATTCGGGTCAGGTAAGTGTCAATTATGCCTTGATTTAGAAAGACTATAAGACACCTCAGAGTTTGACCAAAGCAGATTCGAGTGTAAATCTAACTGACCGTTTTTACAGAAGTTGTTGACCTGTCCTACAGCCAAGACTTGAGCCAGCTGGTCACACAGCCACTGAGGATTGAGGAAGTACAGGTCCTTCAGGCCGATGTCAGCGTAGTGGAACAGGATACCTGTAATACAGCAGGTCAGCGCTGGTACCAATCATATAATGACGATAGAAACCTCAATAGAGGTTACTATCAAAACGTTGTCAGGTGAAAAGTTGACATGGTCAAAAAACATTTATCTACAAAATGTACAAATAAATGAACATTATTTTGAAAAGATATTGTGTTTTTAGAAAGACATCATTTCTGCGATTCAATTGTTTTGATAATGTCCTCGTTTTGATCGTATTTACAGTTCTGTGTCCTGTCTAAGAAAAAGTTTATGGTACAATTTTCTACAAAATCCAAGGGTTCTGTTTTCACTGCACATATCTTCTCTACACTGTTGGGATATGTCATGACAAAGGCTTGTGGGAGATAAAAGATTTGAAATAATCGCAGGCCAGCAAAACAGTAAAAATTGAAGTTCAGTTCTATACAACTGAAACCAATCCAACAGCAAAGGGAATTTGTTATCATATACTTAGGTATTCAAACAGTGTAGAAAAAATATGTATTAGAAAGCAAAACCCTTGGATTACGAAGCTGTGACTAAGCGTACCTACCATTCTCATGGAGGACTAAGTGTACCCACCATTCCCATGGAGGACTAAGTGTACCCACCATTCTCATGGAGGACTTAGTGTACCTACCATTCTCATGGAGGACTAAGTGTCCCCCCCATTCTCATGAAGACTTAGTGTACCTACCATTCTCATGGAGAACTAGGGGTACCTACCATTCTCATGGAGGACTAAGTGTCCCCACCATTCCCAGGGAGGACTAAGTGTACCCACCATTCTCATGGAGGACTAAGTGTACCCACCATTCCCATGGAGGACTAAGTGTACCCCCCATTCTCATGGAGGACTAAGTGTACCCACCTTTCTCATGAAGACTTAGTGTACCTACCATTCTCATGGGGGACTTAGTGTACCTACCATTCTCATGGAGGACAAAGTGTACCCACCATTCTCATGGAGGACTAAGTGTACCCACCTTTCTCATGAAGACTTAGTGTACCTACCATTCTCATGGAGAACTAGGGGTACCTACCATTCTCATGGAGGACTAAGTGTACCCACCATTCTCATGAAGACTTAGTGTACCTACCATTCTCATGGAGAACTAAGTGTACCTACCATTCTCATGGAGGACTAAGTGTACCCACCATTCTCATGGAGGACTTAGTGTACCTACCATTCTCATGGGGGACTAAGTGTACCTACCATTCTCATGGAGGACTAAGTGTACC